TGTATTTGTCAATATTTGTCAGAGCTGAGTGCAATTTTGTCTGTTTTACAAAAGCGAGCTGCCCTCTTTTTTAACTAAACTTTTAGAACTTTTCTCCCTAAAGTGCCTAAATAGAATAATTCTATTTCAAATATTACCTTATATTTATATAGGGGCTATCCAAATATTGGCTCATTACATTTCCCTTCTGTTGTTTTGGGGAATAAAACCTTGACCTACCTGAAAGCACTGATTGTGAGTTCCCTCAGCTGCAAAAATCAATAGTAACACAACCAAAACAAGTGTGATGGGGAAATTGGTCTGTTGGACTTGACCATCACTTTGCAATACAGAAGGTCAGGGTAAGTCAATGGTGACTTACCTAAGCTTGAGGAAATGACCCAGCACAACAGAAAACACTGTGTAGTAAACCAAGAAATGGCAGCCTAACTTAAAAAAAAAAAAAAAAAGAGTCAGCATTTTTCCCTCCTGCCTCCATGAGAACCAACCTTGCACTTCTTTAAAAATGTCCTCAAAATGAAACCATGTGAAGAAAAGCCCATCACCAGAAGGAAACCCCATGGCTGAGAGCAGAGCCCACATGTGAGCTGGTATTTCTGGAGAAGTTTTGGTGCTAATTTTGCCAGATGTATGTTAGCAGCAGACCACAAACGCATAAAATAGAAATGGTTATAAAATATTTGGGTATGAGAAAGTGCAGTTTCATTGGTACAAGGCTGCAGTCACACTAAATGTGACCTGTGCATGTGTGGCTTTACCTCTCTCCTCTGCCAGGGAACTGATAGAGGATTAGGGGTCTTCAGCTGACAGCTGCCAGCTGTAAAAACTTCTTTTTGACAATGTGGACATGTGATGTGGACATTCACATGACTCTCTTGTAGCATGTTCCCAACTTTCTAACATGGAAATTTGGACCCATTTGCAACCAGTCCAGAGCTTATGAAGACTAAACTGTCCTTTTAAAAATACTACTGTAACTTTTACCTATGCAGATTTCCAGGCTGAATTTTAAATGCAATCACTTGGCTTCCAGTGCACTCTAAAAATCAGGAGCCCCAGTCAGCAGGAATCAGTACTCTGCACCCAGGACCTGCTATTTCCATCATTTTAAGCCTCTGTGCTGCAATTATGTGAATTGTCCATTTTTTCCTCCAGCCTCCTCCATGAAATGCATATGTAATGTAAACCCCATTTATCACACTGGAAATTGCTATTGCATTTAATCTTCCCAAAGAGACCAAAATCAAATTATGATGTGTAACGAATGATAACCTGTCAAATTCAAGGGAATACTCCCAGCTTATCCCTCCACATCTAAAATAGAACAGGTCAAAGGGGTCCAGTGTAGAAGACATGGGTAGGAAGACATGATGTGTGAATACATAATGAGAAGGTGAAAGCTCTCTAAATCTTTGCAGATTGAATGAAATCTAATTATATGCTGTATTGATTATTGTGTATTACTGGAAAGAGACAGTGAAAAGGGAAAAAGGCAATTAGACTGAAATTGTTGTCTGACCTTCAATTGCTTTTGGCATGAAAGGTCATGCTCTACTTGGGGTATCAAAAATTCTTTATGCTTTATGGTGAATCATTAGCAACAGACTTAGATACAAAACTGATTAGGGGAAAAAGATCAGTCAGTTTAATAATTTTTAAATTCTTCCCCTTTACAAAAAAAATTAAAGGCAAAGGAAGAAAATACAAAGGTGTTATCATTATGACATTTAATTAATTGCTACCAAGTCTAGCTGGTATGAGTTCTGTGCTGAATAACAATAAAATATATCCATCAATAGAAATACCATAGCAAAAATAATAAGAAAGAAAATATATAGATTGCTCAATTAGGTTTATAATAACTCTGTTTTCCAAAATAAACATTGCACCCAAGGTCAAACATCAGGAAGTAGTACAAAGTCTCACCAAGAAAATTCCACTGACACGTTTCATTGCTTTCCTTTCCCTCTACATGTTCTGTTCATTTGCTTCCACCTAACCCAGCAGCAGCTGAGGGAAAAGAAAGCTTTCAGAAATACTATTTTTCCCAAGTTGATAAAAAACCAGAGCACGAGCCAAATGAAAACTATTGTTTGGGTGTATGTCTGCATGACTCTGCAGGGAATCATGGCAATTCTCATTCATCCTATTCTGAAAACTCTTGTTCTGCCAAAGATAATGGCAAGGACCAGCTTTCTCCTGGCTTTCCTCTATGGTCCTCTGAGTTCTGCACACTGCACTCACTGAGGCACTGCACTCACTGATTTCATTCAGACTGAAAAGTTAATGAGTTCTCAAGTGATCAGTTTTGGGTTGCCTCTTCATACATTTGTAATGTTACTGCCCGTGTTTCTTCTCCTTGCACAAGGTACGCACTCCTAAATAACATTTCCTTGATTGTATGTAAACAAATATGTGTGATAGAAACAAAATTCTGTGCAGCTGCAAGGCTGGTCTCTCTCAGAGTGGCTTTTTATAGCACTGGATCACCAACAGAGTCCCTAGAAAATCCCAGGTAAGTTTTATGACTTCAGGTCTCATCTGAATAGAAAAACAAAATAAAAGAACATTGAGATATTACCAAAAAATATACTTAATAGGTAGCTCTAAATTTGCTGATCTCAAAGAGAAAGGACCAAGAGCAGAAAACTGAAGTACCAAGCTGACCTGCTGCAATGACAGCATTGAGCTGGACTCAGCCTCCTGGAGCTTTGAGGGGTTCTGGGTATGCAACAAACTCATATTCCTCCTGAATAAAATCTGTCTACCCGTGTGTGTCTCTCCACGTGGAAGAAACTTGGACCCACCCTATGAAAAAGTGACACCCAAGACAGCCTCAGCCAGCTTGTGACCTTGGGATCAGGCAGCATGTGCAGCACTGAGGATCCTGACTCAACGCTGAGGTGAAGCTGCAGAGCACAGAGAGTTTGTGTCACAGCAGCCCTGCCGTGTGACACAGCACAGCCCTGTCACACAGGCTCCCCTGCATCCCGCTGGAGCACATTAATGACTTAAATCATGACTCATGGTATTACAAACAGAACAGCAGCCAGCCAAACCCAAACACGGATGCTTGGTCCCGATTTCACTTACAGAGATGAAACTCTGATGATTTCAGTGGAGCACCTCCTAATTTCTTAGGATTTTTTCTTTCTGTTGAAGCGTGATGGGGGAAAAAAAGTCTTTTTTTCAGAATGATAATGAAAGAATTAATCTATGTTAACGTACCACTGTGTAATAATAAGAAACTCAACAATCACATCAGAGAAAAAGGGAAATAAACAGGAAATCTGAACAGCTCAGCTTGAAAAACTTTCTGTATTTTCCTGCGTGAGAACTTCCAGGAAAAGAAAACTGCCTGCAGTGTTTGATACGACCTGAAGAAGCAACGTAAAACTAAGTTCAAGTCATTTCACCATGAAGATTCATATCCAATAAATGGAATTAAAGAAATGAGGAAAACAGCTCCCAAAGAGAGGCATGCTTCACAGAGAACTTCCAGTCATTGCGTGCAATGGCGCCTGCCTAGCACGGTAAGGACTCTGCTGATTCTCCAGGGGATGCTGTGCTAAAATGAACACAGAACAGGGAAATCCTTCCCAAAGTCTTCCCTCTGAAGAACACCAAGAACAAAGCTATTTTGGTGAGAAAATCACATTCATTGAGCTGTAATGGATATACCTTGCAGAACAATCTAATTTAGATTGGGAACTTTGTGGCTTGGTGGAATTAATGAGAATAATTTTCCTCTTAAATCCTACATTCTTCAGAACTGTTCCAAAATATGGTTAGAAAACACAGCTGTTGACACTTTCCTTCTAATTCCTGAATGTGTGGTTTGGGATTAAGAGCCCACTCCATGTTCCCCCTCTCTCTGCCCTGTTTATCCAGAGGAGAGCATGAGGGGATGCCTGTTTCCTAACACTTGCTAGCACAAACTGCATATTGCTATAACAGCTTAACTTACTTAGATTTATACATTCATTCACAAAGTAGTAATAGGAAACGTTCTTTATGCTAACCCTCCTATTTGTCTGCATTTTGAGGCTACAGTAGCCTTGCTTAAATCAATGTTACACGTAAGATTTCCACAAGCAGCCTAGAAGCACGTTAAACATATGTACACTGAAAATTTTATTTGCTCTGAAATACTAAATGTTACATTTATATTACAATCTCATGCAGAAGTTCACTCCTCCAGCCTTTTCTTGTCCAAAACACTGCTGTATTTAATCACATACTTATTCCCCTGATGTCTCACACTTAGAACTTTACGAATCTATGCAAATACAAATGCAGTCATTTTGAAGAATTAGTTTCTATATGAAATGTTATCTATCCTATAACAACTGGTTAACGATGGCTTAGCCTGTTCTAACTACTGTGGAAGGGTTTTTTGCTTACCTAGCAATATTTTTCGAGGTTGGTGAATTAGAATGGTAAGTCATAAAAAGAACTGGTGGATGCTTCCCCTCCTCATCAATGACAATAACAAATTTGAATGGCAAAATCATTAAGGAAACATATGGGTGCTTTGTTTAAACAGACCATTAATAGTGCACAATGTAAGAACTCATCAGAATGTTTTTAAAGTAGTTCCAAAACCAAGTATATGACTTCCAGCTATAATCTAACACTGTATTTGCTATAAAACAACTTCCTATGCAGAGTTAATATACCCAGACAAACCGTAAAACCTGGTACAGTTTGTAGGGACTTCCTCTGATCCTGAAACCCCTGAACTGCAGCCTCCTGAACTTTGCATCTATTGAGGAAGTCCTGACTTTGGACCAAGAGTTGGCAGAGAGGCAGGGTGGTGGTGGGAGGCTCGACAAACCCCTCCAGCAAACCCCGCATCACCTCCTGCCCTCGGTGTGCAGCGCTGGGTCGGTGCGAGCGGTGCCCGGGCTCCCCTCCCCAGCGGGGGGACACTTCGGGGGCTCTTGCCCATCCTGCAGCACCCTCCCGGGGCACAGGACATGCCCTCCCGCCCCTCGTACCATTGAGCTGGTTGTAGACCACTTCCTCCAGGTGGTCCAGGCGCTGCAGGATGGACTCCCTGTCGGCCAGGCTGCCCACCTTGGCACCGCGGCTCCTGGCCCGGCGCTCCGCGCTCCGGACGATCTGCACCAGCTCCTGGGAGCGGTCCTGGATCCTGCAGTACACGGAGAAGAGGATGATGCCCACGAAGACCAAGATGTTCACCGTCAACAAAGTTTTGATTTTCCGTGCCACCGCCATGGGAGCCGCGGGCGCGGTGGCGGGGGGCGCATCCAGGCGCGGCGAGCGGCGGCCCCGCGGCCACCCGGCGAGGGGCGCGCCCGGGGCGCGGAGCGGAGCCGGGGGGAGCGGAGCCGAAGGCCCGCCCCGCGCCCGCCGTCGCCCCGCGGGGCCCGCGCCGCGGCGGGCAGGGCGGCATGGAGCTCTGCTGCTCCGCCGAGCCTCCTCCTCCTCCTCTTCCTCCTCCTCCTCCTGCTGCTGCTGCTGCTCCCGCTCGCCCGCCCTCGCTCGCTGTCCGCCGCCCCAAACGCAGAGCGCCGGTGCGCGGTGACGTGCTCCGGGGGATCTCATCGACATGCACACGGCGGAGCCGCGCCCGCCCCGCTCCGCTCCGCGCCCTGCCCAGCGGCAGAGCTCCAAAGGGGCCATCTTATCGCCGCTGCCCACCTGGAGAGCGCCGGGACTGCCCACGGGCACCTGCCGAGGGGGCAGGATGAAGGTGTCCTTGGCTGCGGTGCAGCCCCGGAGGGGAGGCGATGCCCCACCCGTCTCAGCGGTGGAGATGAGGTGAAACAAGTTCGCACGCTCCCCGGCAAGAGGGAGAGCTGGTAACGCGCTCGGCTCCCTGGGTTTCCCAGCAGCCCGAGTACGGCATTGGTTTGGGATCCTGCATGGAAATGACATGGTTAGGACCGCATCCACAGGCAAGAGAAGTTCTTGCCAAGCATCCATAGAAAAATGGGCTCATAAAATAGTTTAGGTTGGCAGAAATGTTTAAAAGCCCATCTGCTCCAAGCCCCCTGCACTGAGCAGGGACATCTTCAACTAGATCAGGTTGCTCGGAGCCCTGTCTGAGCTGACCTCTAATGTTTCCAGGGATGGGGCATCCACCACCTCCCTGGGCAGCTTATGACAGCATTTTACCACCCTCATCAGAAAATATTTATGCTTTATATCTAGTCTAAATTAATAATCTCTCAGGTCAAAACCATTAACTCTTTAATCTCAATACCTGTGGACATTAAATTTTCAACAACTTCTCCATTCATGTCCACAGTGATCCTCCTTTTATACAAAAAGATATACCCATCTCACCTAGAGGGTTGCATACCATAGGATATATCCTGGTGCTGGGAATTTTTCTCCTTTCATCCTTCCTTCTTGGTTTCAGGAGCTGCCAACTCAAAGTCTAGCAAAGGTTACAACCTCCCCAAGTTCATTGAAACTTGGTGAGTCCTGCTCAGGGTTTCCCTGAGTGAAAATATAAAATTATAAAGGTGAGTTATAAAGGTGAGCTATAAATTCTCCACTGCTGGTCCTGCTTCTGACCCTCCTGCTGCTTACCTTCTGCAAGGCCCCTGAGAGTGCAGTTTCCTTGAGAAGATGTGTTTCTGTCCTAGAGGAATTCTCTTCTCCCCTGGTCTTTTGAGGATCACCAGTGAGCCCTGTGTTGAGCAGAAAAGACCTAAACTGGAGTTTCACCATCATCTCATCTTATCCCTGGAAGAAGATACCACAAGTTTCTACAGTGTCATCTCTTCCAAGTATGGAAATATGTACATGATTTAGTTATTTCCTACATTACTGAATTCTTAAATACAAATAATGCCTAGGTGCAGTATGAGATCTTTCAGTCAAGCTGCAGCAGAAATCTCTTAGTCACTCAGCAGAAGCAGCTCAGCATCTGAAATTTTCCAGTGCTTTCATTATTTCAGTAGTATTCTTATTGCAAATCACTCACAGCATTACATTTTCCTAGCATATAACAATTTGGTTTAAGAAAATATTGAATAAGCTGCTCAAGTGCAGCTTATTTGATGGCTCCACAGCATTTAATATATTATAGCAACACCTGCTGGTCTTGATATGGTTAAGAATCTGTTACATCCCTATTTCCATTATAAACTCCAAGTTCACAAGCTGGCCACAAGAATTCAGATTGGATTCTGACACAAGTTTATAGTTTGTCCCAAGGCTTGTAAAACACCTTCAACATTCTCAGAGAATTTACCAAGTTTTGATGAGGACTTTTTGCACCACTGCAGTTTTAAACTGGCTTTCACAGACATGATTTCATCCATGACTGGCTTAGCTAAAGGAAACCACTTTTTGACCTAAGTAAATTTCTTAAATGGTCAGCTTAAAATATTCTCATATTCTTCTGTACACACCACAGACTGTGTTCACAAGGCTGAAACCTCACCCAATATCACTCAAATAATAGCTAGCTCGTGTAGCTCGCTGCTCCTTCCCACAACTCAAAGCAAGTTGCAAAAGACACACCAAAGCTGACTGAAGGACAGCAGAAGTGTTTCTGGACAGATTTCATGATCAAATGATATATTTTATTCCTTGGAACCAAACAAAAAAGGCACTGTAATATTTTCACACGAACAGCACTTGAGCTGAAGCCGGTGTTTCCTTCCCAAAAGGGTTAAGTTCCAATTTTAATTCCCACAGAAAATACTTATGTTGCCAAAAGAAAGTTTGATCAAAATCGACATATCTAACAGCTGGATTTCAGTGAAAATGCTTCAGCTGCAGCCATAGGAATCAGCTCTGATTGCTGATCCTTCCTCCCAATGGAGACCATGGGAAGGCATTGGTAGCTATTCCCAATCAAGGGACCAAGCCAGAGGCAATGCTGGGATTCCATTCCAAACCACAAATCCAGTTTCTCTCTCTCTCTCTCACTGATTTTCACTCCCGTTCATCTCCACAGGGTTCCTGTTTCCATTCATCCATCATCCATTGAAGATGGATCAGGAAGATGCTGTAAAGGCACACCAAGCCCCTGTGCATTCAAATGGCAGCCGTGCATTCAAATGGCAGCCCATCCCTGTGCTCCCCCTGTGCTCAGCCAAAGGGAACACCTGCATGAAGGACAGCTGGCTGCAGGTGAGGCTGGTGTCAAACAGCCAGAGGTAAGGACTCTGAAATTCCAGGCAGCTCTGAAATATCCATCTGCCACACTCATCTCCCCAAAAGCAGCAAAGATGGTTCATTGCCTTGGGGCACTTCTGTGCTGCCACTGGGCTGTCAAATAGCTGAGGCTGTAATGGTAACAGCAGCATGTACAACCAAACCTTGCTGTTGTCCGAGGCTCTTCTTGAAGCTGTGCTTGGTCTTGTGCAACGTTGGCCTTACAACATTTATATTTGCTTCTGTTAACTCTTGGTTACTGCAGAACGCTCCATCTTGGCATGAGGATGTTGGTACAGAGGAGAACTTGAGCTGCTTCTGCATTTAAAATCCTGTTCGACTTAGCTACTGACCTATGAGGCAGAAAATTTCACTTAAAACAACAGGGAACTAAAATATTTTGAGGTTTAGTAAAACATCATTCTTACAGCCATTATGTATAGAGCCTATCATGCAGCTTCTCAAGGCAGCAGACTCCAAGTCAATGTGAACCCACTGCATTTGGAGCTACAAACCTCAACCAATACACTATTTTTTTTAGCCAGCTACTGAAATCTGTAAATTGTACAGCAACCGGCTATGATCAACATACCCACCATCATCTGGACAGTTCTCAAGTTGAGTTTTCCCAAAAAGTGCTCAAAAAAATGTATGGCACATGTGGAAGTGCCATCCCTACAGCAGAACCCTTGGAAGCACCATGCCTTCAGTCCCAGGTGTGGTGGGTACATGCCCAGATAAACAGTGGGTTTCAATGTTCTATGAGGTGTTTTTTGTTGAGTTTCATTTTAAATGAGGTAAAGGAACTGGCTAAAGAAACAAAAAAAGTAAGATTTTACTTTTGAGAAAAGGCAAGAAGAGGCTGATTAAAAAGTTGCTTGAAAGTTTTTTGAATTTTAAAAAGCCTAGGTTGAAAAAAAAAATATTGAATTCAAGTTAATCACCATAAAATCATTCCCAACCACTTTTCCAAAAGGACAAGATTGATTTACCATTTCTAAAGAGAGATACCTTTCTGATCATCCTACTGCATGATATGAGACATTTGCAGGAATGAATAATGTGTAGAAGGGAAGACTTTGATGTTTCAAGTATTTGAACACTAGCTTTAAAGAAAGAAAAAGACACCACAGACAAAATATTATGCCAGTGATGATCTCCCACTGCAGATTCCAGCTGTAGTAACTCACACACAGACATCACCCACCATTCTCCCAGTGAAACCCCAACTGCATTTGCTAGCACTTTGCTTAGAGTTTTAACACAGCCTAATATTTTTCTACTTAATTTTCTACTTTTCTACTTATTTAGAAGAAAACAAAAAGCAAAAGCAGTGAGCAGAGTCTCAGATCTGTTGAACACTCAGACACACAGAGCTGAGGCCCTCACCCTGTTGCAAAGAGGCACTGCAGCCCCTCAGACACTGAGATGCCTTAAAATCTGAACACACATTTCAGAAATTATATATATATATATATATATATATATAATATATATATAGCCTTTATACATATAATATATGTATAGCCTTTTAATTTTCGTTGTATTAGTCCCTTAATAAGATTACACAGAAGTTTCATAAATGGAATTTGGGAAGCTTCCTCTAAAACTGCAGCAATTCCCACTTGCACATGGGACAGCTCTTCAAATGCACAGTTCATGCTGTGTTCTACCACCTGTGGCTGTGACACAAATATGCACTTCTTTTATATTCTTCCTGTAGCATTAAAGCTACAGGTTGACCCTGCAGAGTGAATTTATAATAGCACAATTGCCAGCAGATCTGCTGCTTTCAAGCCTGGGAGATTGTGCTGATGACCACACTGTAGTAAAAGCATGCAGATAAAACTCAACAATTATCCAAACGTGCATTAAAACCCCCAATAAACCTGTCATTGTAAAACCAGATTATAAATAATGCCAAGACTAAAATATTCAACCCACATGCTTACATTTTACAAAGCTCTAATTAATAAACATCAGAGCTCTCACCCATTTTAATAAGAATTGAGTGGATCTGCCTTTTTAAAATCCAACTGCATAGTCCTCCATCCATTTCCTATTATTATCTCCTACTGTAATTCCTGAATAGGTGCTTG